CACAATATCTAATTTAGATTTCAAGAGGTTGAATATATTACATAGACCATGTAAATTGAGCAGCCATTACCATAACAATGGATTATTCCTTCTTTCTACTCTGTTCTCCACAACTGTCATATTGCTCGTGGATTGTGGAGCCTCCTACTCGCCTCACAGGATGGAGACTGCTATAGTGAAGCCACCTTGAAATGTTTCAATGAGATATCTTATCAGCTTGACCGTGGCTTCAAACTGCGCGAGCTGGTTTGGATAATCTGTATAAACAATGTTAACTGCCAAAAAAAATTGACCGTGAAGAACAAAAGTGCAAGAGCAAGAAGCTTTCTAAAGGTCCTTTAGATCATTATCAGCACAGGAACATCGTTGCGTTATCTTACAAAACAGTAATTAGATTGTTTTTTATTTTCCATACTATTCAACAGTCGATAAATGGAACATAGAGTCAAAATGTAAGAACCTAACTGCAGCAAGTAGCAAACATCCCAGCTCAGGTGTTCAATAAATGGAACATTGTTTGTAAATTGACTTACCAGAGAGAGAGGAAGCCTGGTCTGACCCTGCAAACTTGTCAAAACATCTAACACCACAAACATTGTTGCGTAACACATATCTTGACGCAAGCATGCTCAAGAACATGATACAAGCCCAAAAAAACCAATTTAAGTTACTCTTGAGCTGCTAACAAATATGTAAGAAAGTTGGAGAGAGCTGCATTATTGATAACAAAAACAAAAAACAAAAAACAGCTGGAGATTTCCATTGCCATTGAGATTACAATTAGCTTTGGTAATGAAAAAAACCTCCCAGTTGTCTCTTTTACAACAAAGAAAAAGAAAAATTTAAGTAAAATGGTTTCATTCACTAAACTGGGCACATTGCTACATTTTTTTTCCTTGCCTTTTTACAACGAAAATATTCAAACTTGATACATTTCTTGGATCGAAGAAGAAGACGACCCAAAACCATAATCAGAATCACCTTTTTCATGTTTCTGCAGACTCAGGAACATCGTAAGAGCCTTCTGTTACTTCTTCTGCTAACCACAATCCAGGAAAAAGAGTCTGCAACAAAAGAAAATTTCAAAATGAAAAACTAAGCAATTCAACAAGAAAGAAGGCACACAAATCAAAGAAATTGTTATTACATTCATTTGCTTTTGAACCAATCTTGGTCTCTTCTTTGGTCTTCTTGGTGGTTTTTTCCCAATTAGGGCAGTGAAATCCTCTTCGATTTCTTCTCTCAACAAAGAAACAGAGAATTTCACTTTCTCATTCTTGTTAAAATCCCCATCACCATCACCTTCGTGCCCTCTCTTGAAACCAATTTCATGTCTCCGAATAGAAGAAGAAGAAGACTCAATGATCCTCGTCGATTCATCACCAGGTGGTGGTGGTTCATTACAAGCAGCTCTCCTCGTCCTCAGATTCCACGGCCGAGCTACGGCGGCCACATCGCCGTTGTTCTTAGCTTCTTCTCCTCCATTTCCCAAAACAGAGACTTTAGGTTTATTACCACCATCGCAGGTTAGATCGATCCTTAGCTTACCTTCACCAGGACCGAGCTCCCCTCCGGAGATTACCACTCCTCCTCCGGCGAAGGCGGGAGATCTACGATCGGG